GGAGCCACAGCCACTGGAGCCACAGCCACTGGAACCACCACAGCAGGACTCACAGCAGCTGGGGCGGCAGCAAGTGGTTCTGCAGCAGATGGTCTGGCAGCACCTGGGCTGGCAGCAGCCACAGCCCTGGCCAGAGCTGCAGGAGTCACAACAGGAGTTGCACATGGTGTCAGAGACTGGAGGTTCTGGGGGTGTTTCCAGGAAGGTGGGCTTCAAAGGTTTGGAGGTCTCTCTGACCCACGTCCCCTTTTATACCCTGCAAAGGAGCTGCTGTCTTCATATGCAACAGCCTTTCCTTGTCATTGTTTGTGTTAGTAAATGGGCTATTATCAAATTAAGCCTGTTTATTTTTGTTTACACCTTCAGATTGATTGGTAAACATCATTTCCTTTTCCTGATGTGTTAGGTTTCATTCTTTAGCTCTTTTGAAATCATCTTTGAAGTGTGTTTCTTGCTCGAGCTTCTTCAAAGACACGTTCTGGGTGTCACTCTCTCCCTGTCCTGGAGGCTTCAGTGTCAGTTTGTGTAGAACTTCATTTCAGCCTTTGGATAATAATGACCTTAGAGTCCCATAATTCTTTTTGGGGACACAGAAGGATAAAGGTGGATTATAGTCTGATGGCTTATTCATTATGGGTCTGTTGGGAAACGAAGATTTAGAGATGCAAAATAGACCACTGGCATGAGAACAGAAAGTCTGTAAGGACAGGTTCCCATCCCCGACTGTCAATCATGACCTCTTTCCTAGATCTTTTCTTGGGATCCACAGAACGATCCCAAGATCGTTTGTAACAGAACAGGTGAAAGCCTTAGTGCTGAAACTGGATATTTTTTTTTTCCCATGAAGTAAACCTTCAAAAATTATTTTTAGGGTCTCTTAGGGAAGTTGACTGTACACATCAGCTACACCCTCAACTCTCCTGGTGGTGGGGAAGTGTTCTCTTCTGTTTTTGACTTCCTGTCTTTGTGGTTTTAACAGGTCCTATTGACTAATTTCTGTTTCCAGAACACACTTGCCAACTTAATTTAGATACTGAGAGTCCTGGCCCCTTATGTAACTGCCTCGCTCTCCCTGGATTCTGAAGGTGTATTGTAGTGTGCTTTGTCAGTATTGAGGTTTTTGATTGGATTTTATTATTTAGTCTTTATTTTCCAAAAAGCCAACAAACCAAAAGAAAATCAGAGAGTTCAAGCAAACATGTAGATCAATGGATTTCAGCTGACACTTATTCATAATGAAGATGGAGTAAAATCTTAAAGAGCTCAAAATTGCAAATACAAATGGCTAAGGTGACTGATGTTCCTAGGAAGGGGAAATTGGGGAATGATATTGGGCAATGTTTTTGTTATATTGTATACACATGAAAAATATATAACAATGAATCCCATCATCATGTATAATTGAAATGTATCAATGGAAAAACAAAACGCTGCCAGTACATCAGTTGGTCCCCTGTGGATCAAGAAACAGCTGGATAAAGATTAGTTGGTACCTATATGATGGCATCCTTACGTGTCTTTATTAATTCTTAATTACATTCATTTGAAGAATAAGACCCTCGACATATTTCCATCATGTTAGCTTGCTTAGCAAATACCTAATTTACTGGTTCATATTTTTAAGGGATGTGTTGGGAAGATGGGAGAATGTGAAATATTTAAATATTTCAATATTCTGAGTGGAGAAATATTTTACTGAATTTGCTGTGCAAGAGGGACAGAGGGAAAAAATTAAGACAACAAAGAAAGATGTTTTGATTACCAAGGGAAAGGTCTCTATATAAATTTGAGAAATCTAACAAAATCTTTTCACCACAGCTGAAAAGGAGGCGCACATCACACTCATAGACCAAAGTATAGGTATTTACAGTCCCTAAATTGATAGTTCTCACAGCTGGCTGCATACTGGAGTCACCCAGGGAGTGTTAAACACTGCCAATGCTCCTTCCCTTTCCATTTTCCTTTTTCTATTTTGATTTAATTGGTCTTGGGCAGGGTCTGGACTTTGGAAGCTTTTCATGCTCTTCAGGTTTTCCTGATGAGCAGCAAAGCTGAGACCCTGCTCCTTAAATTGCCTGTATTTCATACATTTGTTTCAGTTTCAATTGAGAACACTTGCAAAAAATAATTTTAATGATGGCATCTAAATTATAGAGAAAATGATCCTGAATTGGAAACATTGAACTTGGAGCAAGGACAGCCGACCCTCTGGTATTCCTCTTTACTGTTTCATTTCTCCTTAGCACTAAAACCAACAGACCCACATGGACCAGAATGGTCCAGCACAGCACAAAGCACAGTGGAAATCCCTGTGCACAATGGGTTTCGAAGGAGGAAACCCAGAACAGGAGACGCATCACTCTAAGTACTTCTTGCTAAATTTTGCCCACAGTCTATTAAAATAGAATGAATAGTTAACATCCAGACCATACTTAAAAATTATCTAAGTTTTATCCAAACTGTACCTCTTTTATGACAGTGCAGGAGATGGAGAGTAATTTTTTTCCCTCTAACCAATTTTTCCTTGTCTTTTTAGAGTGCAATGGGCAGAAGAACAAAAACTGAATTAGAGCAAATTTTATTCCATGCTTTTATCACTATGTCAAAATGAATCCTACTGTTATGTATAACTAAAAAGAAGTAATAAAAAAGAATTAAGAAAACACTAATAAAGGAATTTGAATGAGGTGGACCTAACTGATATTTGCAAGCACCATCAAGGAACTGGGTTATGTCTGGGAGCAGAATGAATATAAAGAATATACTAACAGGAGACACATCCTGTTAGTATATTCTTTAGAGAATGGCATGCAAAGCAGACTTCTTGTCAGGTGTTACTTACATGGTATTAGTGCACAGCCTTTTTTTAATTGGTTCTTTTCAATATACATGACAGTAGAATCCATTTTGATATAATTATAGAAACAATAAATACATCATAGGTATTGTGTTCATAGCTAAAAAAGAGATGAACTATGCTGTTATTATAACATCATGATTTAAATAGAGATATGGTAGTGATGTTTAATGGATAGGAAAATTTACTCTTTTTTTTGATACCAGGGATTGAACCCAGGGTGCTCAACGACTGAGCCACATTCCCAGGATTTTTTATATTTTATTTAGAGACAGGATCTTGCTGAGTTGCTTAGGGCCTTCCTAAATTGCTGAGGCTGGCTTTGAACTCATGATCCTCCTGACTCAGCCTCCTGAGCTGCTGGGATTAGAGGAGTGCGCCACTGTTGAGAGCCACGGCCAGGTCAAGATGGTGCCTGGCATTTTGCCAGAAGGGGCGGCTCCTGCTGCCTCCGGTGCCCGCTACTTTTGAGTTCTTGTGGAGTTTCCGTTGAGTTCTCGCTAAGTTCCCGTGAGAGTTCGCGTGGGTGGGGTTCGCGTGGGTTCGGGAATAAAGTTCGTTTCTGCTTGAATCTACAAGTGGCTCATGACCTCCCGGTTATTTGTGCCCAGCCAGATTGCGGCACGCCACCAGGTCTGTCAGGAAAATTAATATATTTTCAATTCAACTATTTTACTTTACAACTGAAATCAAGTTCCATTTAAACATTTTATAACACATACACACACACACACTCACTCACACACACACATACACACACAGTATTTCCAATCTTGATAAGAAGTGGTATAGGTAATCAGAGCAATATTTAAATTAATTGATATTGGCCAAGTTAGATTTTATAGTGTATATTGTGTGCATGTAGGAATACATAACAATAAATCCCATCAATATGTACAACTATAAAGCACCAATAAAAAATGTGGAAAAATATAGTAATTAAATATCCACCTTCCACTGATTTGGATTTCTTTATGTCCTTCAAATATCTTCATTCATTGGTTATCTAAACTTATTTTTAATCTTTGAGAGAGCATTTCAGTTCTCCTGAATGATTAACACTCTTTATTATGAAAATCATAAATATAGTGAAAAGTATACAAGGCACATAATTATAATTATTAAGCAAGTATCTATGCCCTCAAAGTTCAAGTCCAAAAAGAAAGTAGCCATCACCAAAAAGGGCTCCTGTATGTCTTTTTTGACCCCATCCATCTCCCTCCCCACACCATGAAGAATCACTATCCTGATTTTTAAATTTATTTATTTTTTGTTCTTCTTTACACTTTACCCACCTACATATGCATTCCCAAACTATGGGGTTTAATTTTACATGCCTTTTGATCTTATATAAATAGAATCTTACTCTGTCTTCTCCAATGCATTCTCGACTCCATATTATATACTAGCCAAGAATGGCAGCCCGTAAGGCAGCCCCAGTGGTCTCACCTCCTGGTGTTCATGGTGTTTGTGCTTTGAGTACGCATGATGTATCCCTAGTGTTCCGTGTGGTCAAGCCTCCGTCCCCAGGGTGGTCAAAGTGGGAGATGATGCCGACTTTGAGGGTCCATAGGAAGCTCTCAGGTCAGTGGGGGCATGTCCTCCAAAGGGATTGTGTGACCTCAGCCCTTTCTGTCTTCTTCCTAGCTGGTGGTGGGAATAGTCTGCTCTGGGATGTGCTCCCTGGCATTACCATCCAGTGCCCTCGCCAGAGGCCCTAAAGAAAGGAACCTCCAGAATGGTCAGCAAAATGAGACTTTACTCTTTGTAGTGAACTTACTCAGGTGAAGCTGACTAATACGGTGGTCTGAGTAGTCGCCTCCCCTGACTGAACTTACTTCTAATCAACAGCATATGGCAGCATCCAGTGATTAAGTTAGAAGAGAACTGACTTTCCTCTAGCTAGCCCATCTTCTCTTACAGACTCTCCCTCTGTCACTGGCTTTGATGAATCCAACTGCTGTGTGGGAGTGATGCACTTGGGAAGGAGCTGAGGACGGCCCCGAGGCGAGGCTTCCATTCCCATAGCCTCCAGGAATACCCTCAGCAACCACAGGAGTGAACTGAGCAGTTGATCCTTCTGAATCAGCTCCTCACATGAGACCCCAGTGTGAGCTAACTTCTTGATTGAGGCCTTGTAAACACTATAAAGTGGAGAATGCAGCCAAGCTATTGTTGATGCACAAAAACTGTGCGATAATAAATGTATTTTAAGGTCCTAAGTTTTAAGATACTTGCACGAAAATGGACAGCTCATCCAGATTTATCTGTTTCTGCACAACCCACAGAAGAAACAGAAAAGCTAAAGGTTGGATAAAGGGGGATAGACTAGAATATATCTAATCACAAGGCCTGAAAACCCAACAGGCTGACTGTGTTCCCAGGTGAGACTCTGTTTACTAACACCGCAAGGCAAGACCAAGCAAAAAGGTCACTGAGCATTATCAGTGACAAATTCAGTCGCCTTTTCTCTAAAATGGGAGCTTGTGGTAAGAATTACAGTTCTAGAACTGAGCACCTCAAGGATAATGGGAATTGTTAAGATTAAAGAATAGCAAAGATGAGAGGGAGACATTTAAATTCAAGAATTAACATGGAGATAGCCATGGGATGGGCCACAAATTAGGAGTGGCAACTGGGGCAGAAGAGTATTTAACTTATAGGGATCCATGAATAGGAATAACAGAATAAGCATTGCCTCACAATAGGATACGGGAGGCCCAAAATAGTATAGTCATAATTGTAGGCTCTGAGGATCAGAATCTCTATTAGAGCATATGTATGTGTATATGTAAATTTAAAAGAGGTTAAGATAAAATGAACAAAGGGCTAAGGAGAGTTGTTCCAATGGAAAGCAAGACTGGCATCGTATAGAGTTGTCAGACCTATGACCCATCACCTGAACAGAGAGACCAATCCTTCAGGAGAAGGGACCACGGCAAAGATATATTAGCTCTAAAATCGACCTGTATTCCATTTGCTAAGATACCTTCAGCAATCTATTCGGGAACACCCATATATTTGGATATTTCCAGATAGCAAAGTATAATTGATACTGACAACTGGAATCCAAAATGCCAACATGGTGCCCATTAGAATACGGCTGTGATGGTCAGAAAATAATTGGAGTCTTGGACCAGATGAGTGTCACATTTTGTCCACTGAGTCCACAGAAATATCTGGTGGTCATTTAACCTGTTCACAAACAAAAACCCCAGCACATTCTTTCCTTGAACTACAGAGTAAGAATATTATAGTAGAAAAGGCCAGACGAAAACCCTAGGTACAGCCCAACCCTCGATACCATCCCACAGGAAAGCTAGTCAATAAAAATTAGAGCTTAGAGCCACCATCAAAAATTTAAATAATGACCGGGCATTGAAACCCATATTATTTTCAGAGAATTCACTAGTTCAGGATCCACAAAGATTAGATGCCTCATCATTGCTGACAGTGCATGACCACAAGACTTGTCAAATAAAAGATTCACTTGAAGCTGATGTGCTGGATGTAGAGTCCTGGCTACAGTATGGTCTCTGGAATGGGCTATGTGGGAACTGAATTTGAAAATAAAACCTTCAGGATTCCTAAGGAAGGAGAGGCAGGAGTGGATCCAGGTCACATGGAACCAACATCAGAGTCAACTCCCTGCCTTGACCCAGGGCTAGGTAAATCTTCTTGGACCCAGTGCAGTTCAAAATGAAGTGGGCATTCTAGACACTGCACAGAACACCATACTGATCTGTGATATTGAAGACATCAGGTTAGTCACGTCTGATGTACAAGAAACATAAATACCAAAGACACCTCATAAGATGCCCTTGAAGATGGGAGATAAATTCAACAAAGCATTCAAGGATTGCCACATTCAAGAGTTCCAGCTGGAGACAATGCCAGGACATTCTCATCTGGATACCTAACCATCCATCAAGAGTCCAACACAGAGACCCTGATAAGGTACCACCCCTGGGACATTAGTCGGTTATTTGTTTCTGAGTGAGGTTGACATCTAGTCTGGGTTAAGTGTCTGCCTTTTAGGTTTGCAGGGCCTTCTCAGTCAGCACATGGGATTGGCCCTCAAATTTATCTGATCTATGGAATCTTAAATCACTGCATCTAGGATTAACAGACCCAAACCTATAGCAAAGGATGTAGGACAATTAATATATGATCATGGAAGCCCACTGTTCCTGCATTATTCCTCACCTTCTGGAAGCAGTTGAATAGATCCTGTGATGACAGCCTCTCTTGATACCCATGGCAGAGGTGCCAGCTTGGTAATGACCTCCTCTGAGGATGGAGCCCTGTTCTTCAGGATGACGTAGACGTGTAAACCAATGACCATCATGTCGGGCTATGTCCCTAATAGTTAGAATACACTAATACAGAAAAGCAAGGCCTGGAAAGTTGTGCTGAGTCCAGCCATCTGGCCTCCAGGAGAGGCAGAGCTGTGCTTCCACTCATACTCTAGAGCTGTCTTGGAGTGGAGGAGATGGGGTAGAATTCACTGATAGCACATTTTGGCCCAGATGCTTCTATTGCTTTAACTTGCTTCCCATGGCTTCTTCTGGATTTCTCTAGAGAGCATTTCTTTGTTCAACTTTTCTTCCAAAATACTTGTTTCTAATTCCTCCTTGAGTGAATTGCACTGAGCACACAAAACAAAGATGACACCTCATTAAACACAGCTTTTTTTTTTTTTTTTTTGGATGAGAGTAACTACCATGGTGGTTGATTCCTAGCTCTCAGATACACTAATGTTCTGGACCAGGGATGTAGCTCGGTGGTACAGGGCTTTCTGTCATGCATCAGTCCTGAATTCAATCCCAGCACCACACCCAGTTTATCACACAGTAACCCAAGACTTGACCCTGACACAATGGTAACTATCCCTACAGTATGAAAAAGTGTTGAAATGCACCAACATGGAGATTAGGCATGTGGGTGTCTTAGTTGGGGTGCCCGTTAGAGTAACCCAAGATACAGGGGTTTGACAGCAAGCAGTTTGGGAAAGGATCCTAGGAAGCTCTGTAGGAAACTTGGGAAATGAGCCAGGGCAGTGAGGGAAGCTAGTGGAAGGTTCCATAATGAGCAGAACACCACTGGAGGCAGCTGAGATCCCATCCCATGGAGCACCTGTGGAGGACTGGAAGGAGTCGCCCCAGGGGAATTGAGCTAGAGAGCATTTATTCACCAACACCTTTCCCTGGATTAGCTCTGCTCCTGTGGGCTTTGAATTGCCTTCTCAGAGAAAGTCCTCAGGCAGGGAGTATGCATTAGATGCTGACTAATACACCTTCCTGTGTTAGAAAGAGTGGTGCTCACAGAAGAGGTGGAGCACCTCAAGTCATCTGCTATGGGCTTTTTGTTCTTTAGAGATGAACTACCAAAAAAACTGTCAGGGGACAACAATTGAAGAAGGAAAAATAAGGAGACACGATGCCATTGAATTTGTATGACTGAAAAATTTGGATTTATTCAAGGTAGAAAATATGACAGAGAGCAAATACTTCCATGGGAATGATCTGATAATTGACAGACTCTAGGGAAAATTCAAAGTTATGTTCAGTTGGGGGGGTTTAGTAACCTGTTAGGACAGAAGGCAGCATATGTGGAAACCAAAATCCTCATTGGAACACAGGTTTTACCATCGGCCTTTCATGACTGGCCTCAGATGTGGATCACATAGAGAATATTGGTTGATGAAGAACAGGAGAGGACAGGTCAGAGCATTCAGCAGCAAGAACCACTGGAGCAGGTGGGGCGGCAGCAGGTGGTCTGGCAGCAAGTAGGGCGACAGCAGCTGGACACACAGCAGCTGGGGCGACAGCAGGTGGTCTGGCAGCAGGTGGGGCGACAGCAGCTAGAGCCACAGCCACTGGAACCACAGCAGGGGCGGCAGCAGGTGGTCCTGCAGCAGGTAGTCTGGAGGCAGGTGGGGCGACAACAGCTGGAGCCACAGCCACTGGAACCACCACAGCCACTGGAACTACCACAGCAAGGGCGGCAGCAGCTGGACCCACAGCAGCTGGGGCGGCAGCAGGTGGTCCTACAGCAGGTGGTCTGGAGGCAGGTGGGGCGACAGCAGCTGGAGCCACAGCCACTGGAACCACCACAACAGGGGCGGCAGCTGCTAGAGCCACAGCAGCTGGGGCGGCAGCAGGTGGTCTGGCAGCAGCTGGGCTGGCAGCAGGTCTCCTGGCAGAGGCCTTCGCCACAGCCCTGATCAGAGCAGACGGAGCCAGAACAGGAGTTGACCATGGTGTCAGAGGGTGGAGGTTCTGGATGTGTTTGCAGGAGGATGAGTTATGAGTTTTGGAGTCTTCTTGGTACCTGTCCTCTTTTATACCCAGCTGAGGAATTTCTATAATTATGAAAAGACAATTTCCTTGTTTTTGTTTACATGACAGAAATGCACTTAATAAATCATATTTTTGTAGTAAAGTCTCCCAAAGTATAATGATAATTATTTCCTATTTCTCAAGTTCCCTAATGTTCTCCCATGAATCACCTCTTCTCTTTCCTCCCCTGGGTGTAGCATCATGTGGCTCAGACTCTGGGTATCATGTTACATAGGTGGGTCTCTAGTCTGCTTCTCATATTGAGGTCATTTGGGGAGAGCTTCTGATAGGGCTGGGCTCTCTAGTGGATAAATGCAAGATTCGGTCAGACGGAATGCTGGGATGAATAAAGGAAGTAGAAGCTCCACTTGTTTGGTGTAAGACATGAGGAAGCTCACTATCCATGTGGTGTTTTAGGTGGTCAGTGAACTAATGAAATTCCAGGACATTCTAAGCTGTATTTGTTCTCATCACCCAGAGATGCATCTTGAAGCAGTTAACAGTGACTCAGTGTTTTAAGGACTAAGGAGTCATCTGGGAGTGATCTAGGTCTATCGTCAGAATTGTCCTCCAGGCTGAGGTAGGGTAATTTAGATAGTAATTTTTAATCTACCTTTTGGAATATAAAAATATGTCATCCTTATTCTTTATTGACATGTTATTAAGTATTTTCATATGTTCTGAGTTAAAAATTCTAGCAATTTGGTAGTATCACTTCTTAATATCTTCTAATTCTAATAATTATTTACACAAAAGTCTCATATGATTATGGTGCAACGTAAGGATTCTTTTTTAGTGTCACAAGCATTCAGAGCAATATGTATCTATCTATCTATAGTTATATATATATATAATGAAAAGAACAAATTACCTTGAGGATATTCCCTTTGCCTGGAGAGGGGGTAACTTGTGAACACAACATTCTCTTAGTTGTCTGTAATTGGAGAGTCTGAGTACTGTTTCCTTCCATATCTTCTTTGGCTCCACAAAAACAAAGTTCTTTCTTTGTTGTGCTTTTTTTGTGTTTTATATATTTCATGAGTTCTATGATTTGATTTTCTATCACAAATGCATTTGTCTATTGGCTCCCATACAATACAAAGTCCATTAAGGCAGGGACTCTGCTTTAATCCTCTTTGCATGACAAGACCTGATGTAGAATGTGTTTTCTGTAAAGGAGATATATGCATAATAAATGACCTGATAAGTCCTTTAAGGGCCACATATTGACCTCTGAGAACACATATCATGCAAGTAGGTGGAGAGAAAGGGGATTTCAAAGAAGAACCATACAATTGAAACTGGACTTAACTCTGGCTTTGTGATTGATGAAGGTGATGTACTGCTGGGTCTGTTTTGAGAAATGAGAGGTAAGTTGAGATTAATAGAAGAGAGGTGGCTTTGAGTTATGGAAGTAATGTTGGGGAGCTCTGCAAAGCCCTTAGGTAGGAATGTAAGGTACTCTTTATGCCTGTGCCATTTTGAACAATTGTTTTGATCTACCTTTACAAATTCCAAAACATTCTTGGATTTCTGAGGAGAGATATTGTTTAAAAGGTTAAAGCGAGACAGGGTTAGAGGTGGACACGCAGCCTCAAGTAAAGGCAATTGACATAATGAAGATAAGTTGTTATCTTTGTTATGAAAGAATAAATTTATTTTTTATAAAATAATAATAAAATAACGTCAAAGAAAGATTTGGCAGAGACTTGGAAAAAATGGAAGAGAGTGGCATAAGGAGGTGTGTGAGCTTTATTTACATCATTATAACAAAGTACCTAAAATAATCAAGTTATAAAGATAAAAATTTTTTTGGTTCATACTTTTGGGGGCTCTAATCTGTCATCAGTTGGCGGTTGCTTTTGTGCCTGTGGCAGGGCAGTTCTTTGTGGCAGGAGCACATGGAGGAGCAAACACTACTCACCCCACGGCCAGAAAGCAAGAGAGAAAGAGGAAAGGGTTGGGGTCCCATAGTTCCCTTTAGGAACAGCCCCTGATTATGAAAGGACCTCCCAATAGGCCCCATGTCTCAAAGATCCCACCACCTCCCAATAACAGCACCACAGGGACCAAGCCTTTAACATCTAAGCCTTTGGAGGGAGGGCATTCACCATTCAACCTATGTAGCAAGAGGGCTCTTGGTAAGATATCCCAGTTTAGCTCTTTGTTTATATATTTTGTGACTTTCTATGAATATGATTTATAGCCCCTACCTCCTAAAAGCCAATAATATAAAAAATTTAAAAGATGAATCAGAAAGGGGAAGTTGTACCTAAAAAGGAAGGATCTAAAAAAAGGCTACTTAGAGACAAAGAAGAAATATTTACATCAAAAGATGAGGGTGGGGTATTTGCACAGTGTTCTCCCAGGAGCCCCAGCCAAACGCAAATATGGTGAGTGATAGAAACCCTGTCCTTTCCCTTCCTTCTGCAGGCTCTGAGTGTGGTAGGCGGGGCACTTTTCTGGGTACAGGAACCACAATGTAACAAGCACACACTTTGCAAGCATCCCTCTTCGAGGTGAGGATCTGAGGCCCAGGGAAGATAAAAACCAGTAAGTAGGGGAGCAGTGACTTGTTCCCTGCCACCCCAGCACTGGGTCCAATTTTCCAGTCACTACAATTATACTGCCTTTCTGCAAAATCAGATGTGAAGGAAATTTTCTTTACCCGCATGTTGCATCTGATGCAGTTAGATTGTATGATTTCTGGGGTTTGTGTCATATTATGTAAGTTAAAAGACTTACATAAACAATGTCTCATAATATCTTTTAATTTCAAGGTTTGATGCTTTGTATTTTTAAATATTTTCTGCATTAGGAACGTACACAGGTATAAGATATGAGGCTTAAATAGCTTGCAATTGGGTCTGACCATAACCCCAAACCATTTATTAAACAATACATCTTTTCCCTAATGGTTGCAAATGCTACCTTTCCATACACTAAGTTCCCGAATGTATTTTGGTGTGTTTCTGGAGTGATACATACAGAGATCCTTGCCATGAGCGTGTAACTTGCATCTGACTGGACTGGTACAGTGGTTTTGCTGGGCTTGCGCTCCCCTGTAAAGTTCCTATACATTAGGTCAACCTAAGCCACCAGGGGCCTGCCTTGTTTGTTCACAGAGATTCCATCAGTAACCTCCAGGAACTATCTTTCTTATATCCTGGCCAGACAGGAACATTAGATAGGAGTTTAGGGGAATTAAGACTCCCACTTCAGCTGTTTCCCACACTAAAGCACCTCTCATTGCGCCTCTGTAATTCTGCATTGCTCAGTATTTAGTACTAGACAGACTCAAGCCAATTCCAAAAGTACACGGCCAAATAAAACCGAGTGAAGGGCTGACTTCATCAAAGTTTTATTCAGTTAAAAATCCACCCCCACTATACATTTAAATAGAGTTCATGTGGACATAAAATAATCACTCCAGTCACTTTTCCATTCATAACTTTATCATAACCTTGATTTTTTTCTACCCTTACCTCTCTACCATCACTTTAACTCTCTCTGAAAGCAATTACTGTACTTAAATACCTGTGTGAACAGATATAAGATATGTTGCATGCCACACTCTTCACCCAAATTATGGTATAAGGTTTCTGGTCTGCTCCTTGTTATTATAAACTCTCCTTATTATTACTGAGCTTTCCCTTAACTGTATTGACACCTTTGCAAATAGATTCAGTGTTCCTTCTCATTCCTGCTCTTGTAAAAAACAGGGAATTATAAGCCTCATATACTTTGATACTGAAAAGAACACATAAAACCTCTATTCTTTGATTTAGCTCAAGCTAATAATAATGCATCATGTTAACACCAGAGTTTGCATTCTGTAATTAGATGTTGTCAAAGAAGAACATAAGGAAGGATAAAAGATTTATTAATTCTGGTAAATGGGAAGACAGGTCTGTCCTCTGTAGAACAATTTAGATCAAGTGGAAAGGGTGGAGCTGAAAATGTCTTTCATATTCAAATAATGTAACACCCAACCTATGTTAATGTGAAACCCAGCTTCTATTTGTTTTGTCTTTTGACATCTTAAGTTTTATTATTATTATTATTTTAATTTTAGAAATAATAATCCACTCTTGGTTGATTATACTTGTTACTTGGAAATATGACTATGCTAATATATATAATGTATGGAAAATTAAAGTATTGTATTTAAAATGTTTTTATCATATTTTGGATTATGAAACCAAAACTTATAAACCCCTTTATTTGTATAAACATGATATTATTGTACATCTTGTGACACATTTTCCCAGCTAAGAAAGATCATTCTTACCTAAGTTTTGATGATGAGAAAACTGAGTCTCAAAGAGAAATATCCTGCCCATGTTCTCTTTTTATTGTTGTTGTTGGTGGTGTGCAAATTTTATTTTTAAAGTGCTATTAAATAATGAATTGCTGAGTTCATTTAAGGACTTTTTTCTTATTAATGGGATTA